CTGGGGAGGGCTAGCCTCCCACTAGTTCGAATTAAGTGGCTACACAGCCCTTAATTCGAACTAGTTAATTCGAACTAGGCGTTAGTCCTCGTAGAATGAGGTTTACCTAGTTCGAATTAAGCGCTCCGCTAGTTCGAATTAAGTTCGAACTAGCGGTTTGCATGTGCAGCGCCTATCAAAGTTAATTTGAACTAACGTCTGTTAGTTCGAATTAACTTTGTAGTGTAGACATACCCAAAGAGTTTTCACATGAGGGCTTTGTAGTGTAGACATACCCAAAGAGTTTTCACATGAGGGCTTTGTAGTGTAGACATACCCAAAGAGTTTTCACATGAGGGCTTTGTAGTGTAGACATACCCAAAGAGTTTTCACATGAGGGCTTTGTAGTGTAGACATACCCAAAGAGTTTTCACATGAGGGCTTTGTAGTGTAGACATACCCAAAGAGTTTTCACATGAGGGCTTTGTAGTGTAGACATACCCAAAGAGTTTTCACATGAGGGCTTTGTAGTGTAGACATACCCAAAGAGTTTTCACATGAGGGCTTTGTAGTGTAGACATACCCAAAGAGTTTTCACATGAGGGCTTTGTAGTGTAGACATACCCAAAGAGTTTTCACATGAGGGCTTTGTAGTGTAGACATACCCAAAGAGTTTTCACATGAGGGCTTTGTAGTGTAGACATACCCAAAGAGTTTTCACATGAGGGCTTTGTAGTGTAGACATACCCAAAGAGTTTTCACATGAGGGCATGGAGAACAAGGCTGGGGTCCCATATAAGACATTGCAGGAGGAGTAACAGGACTTAGTTCGGATTAACTTCTGACTGCCATGTGTAGCTGCGGGCAGTCAGTTCGAACTAAGGGGATTTAAAAATGGCACCCGCCTGGGAACATGCAAATGGAGCCTGGGATATTTAAATGCCGGGCTTCATTTGCAAGTTCAAATGTCTACATTAGCCACCCTAGTTCAAACTAGGGGCCTAGTGTAGACATACCCTGAGTGACTATTGGCTGCATGCCCAGAGTAGCCTCTCAGAGTAGCATCAGACAGCTGCTACAAATGAGCAGCCAACCAGGGCATTGCTACCAGAAATCTCTGACTAGAAGCACAAGGTGCCAAAACATCTAAATTGGTGTACCCACAGGGACACTCCTCTAAGAAGAACTACAGCATTTCTTTTGGAGAAAGAGTTCTATCATGGGCAACCATAAGGCCCCCTGATGTGGATCATCAGCAGGATTTGAACACTGGATGTTAGATCTTCAGCTGCGAACCAACACTTCAGTTACAGGCAAAACTAGAGCTGAAATGCATATTGTAACCTTGCCCGAATAGTTGCATCGATATAGATCTATTCCAGCATTTATCACAGCTGGTTAAAAGCATTCTCTGCTTTGTATTCTGCATGTCCCAAATAACATTTTAAAAGTATGGCTGTATACCAGCTTCTAGAAGAGCTATTGGAAGGAAATACCTGTATGGAGGATAGTGATAGAGATGTAGCCGTGTTAGTCTGGGGTAGCTGAAGCAAAATGCAGGACAATGTAGCACTTTAAAGACTAACAAGATGGTTTATTAGATGATGAGCTTTCGTGGGCCAGACCCACTTCCTCAGATCAAATAGTGGAAGAAAATAGTCACAACCATATATACCAAAGGATACAATTAAAAAAAAGAACAAATATGAAAAGGACAAATCACATTGCAGAACAGAAGGGAGATGCGGGGTGGGGGAGGGGGAGGAAGGAAGGTAAGTGTCTGTGAATTGATGATATTAAGAAATCCTTCTTAACAGTAGGAGCTAGGGCCACTAAATTCAGTATCTATCTTCCTCTTATAACTTAAAGCAGCATAAGAGGCTGCGGGTTTGATTGTACCAGGAAAATGGGATGTGAAAGAGAGAATCAACAATTCATATATAGTTCTCAAAATTGACATCACTCAGCAAATGTTGAAAGACTGAATCAAGATGAGCCAGAAAAATGGGATGAACCTGGAATAGGATTTTCTCAGTAAGCCATACTCTATTCTGTAAGCTAAGAATTTTGGAGTAGTACTGTGTTTTGACACAGTTAAATAAATTCTTATGGTTTGAAAACTAGGTGACAATGTTACTGGAACCCAAATTACTTATAGCTCTTTTCCTATTATAAATAAGTTTATAGGAATGAAGAAATACACTTTATGGAATTCCTCATTAAAAGTGTGTGTTTAAAAAAAAAAATCTTAATCCTCTTAATTTTTCAGATTCTTAATTCAGTGTTTATGAAGCTTTAAAAAAATGTACATTTTTCTTCTGTACACCCTTCCGTTCCCCCTTCCCCTGGCCCCCAAATTAAGAAGCTGAGCAATGCTAGATAAATATGCTAATGTTGTATGTGTGAGATTCTCTAACTATGTGTCTTCCCCATAAGAAGACACATAGTTAAATTAAATTCACAAATAACCACCAATGACAGTATTCTGTAATGAGTTAGAAGTGCCCATTGTATAGCTTCAATCAGGTATGGGTGTACACCTGCCAGTACAAAAGATTTGCAGACCTGTGAAGGTAGGGGCCAATCGAGGAAGAGTGGTATTTAGACATTGACCATGTACTAGATCGTAAGACTAACTACTGTTTTGTATAAGTTGGTGGTACAGTAGCACCTCAGTTAAGGAGACTGAAAGTTGTTTGTAATCTGAAATATTCCAGAGTTCTGAGCAAGATGTTATGGATTTCAGCCATGGAAGGGCAGGGTTATGGGGCTTAGAGCTGCAACTTCAGTTCCTAGAGGTCAGAGTTCCAGGCCCGGGGGGGGAGGGGGGGCAGCGAGGGCGAGGTGGTGTGGTGCATGAGGCTTTCTAAATCACTGGTCACAACAGCTCTGGGTGGGGGGGGGCTTCTGTTTTGCAGGAGCTCCGGGCATTAGACCCAGTGGGTAGTGCTGGGAGTTCAGCCATATGGCTGTGTTCCTGAATACTCTGTTTGGGGGGGCTTCCTACAACTTCACTTCTGGTCTCAGTGAATTGAGGGGGAGTTTGTTGGGAGGTAAGCACTGGGGTCTGATGCACTGAGCTCCAGTGCTCTCACAGGGCAGACATCCTAAGTCTCCCTGCAGCTGCAGGGCCCTCTCCAATCCCCCCTGGGCTGACACCCTGAGCCCAATGCAGTATTTGCTGTGGTCTTGTTTTTGTTTCCGCTGCTGCCTGATTGGTGTCCATTTGACTGGTAAGTCCATATTCTGGTATTCAAATCTTTGAGATTCTACTGTCTAACTCCTAGCTTAATACTTTGGGGGAGGTGCCTGCTGTAATACTTTGTTTGCTTAATGTCTCAAGGATGGAACTGAAGAAATGTGTATGATGTCTTGCATGTCAATGTACATATTTATGTATCTTTTAAAATGCTCAGAAGTACATAAGTTAGAGCAAAGTCATTAATGTTTTCTAACTAATTGTGTTGCATTTCCAGCAAGTATAGCTTCATTTTAGAATCTTGCTGAAATGGTTATCTAGAGCATATTTACTTTATTTTGGAAGTGAGTATCTTTTGTGCTGTTTTAAAAACACAGCTGACAAAGGACCTTATGTGCCAAGGAAACTTGTTTGTGGTTACAGGCTAACTCTGAGGTTTTTTAAAAATATCCTTGAATTAGTAACTGGCAACTTGTTGGTCTGCTAAGATTTCTAGTCACTCAGTATCTGTGGCCCTTCCTGGGCTTTACTGAACTGTCACTGTAAGACAGCGGTGGTGAACTTCAGGCCTTGGGGGGTGGATGCAGCCCCTGGCTTGCTTGGATCCGGTCCCTGAGGCTCAGAGTTCCCCACCACAGGGCTGAAATTCACAAAATGTACTAGGCTGGACCTTTCTAGACTCTGGGGTGTAAGGGTGAATGAGGAGTGTCTTTTCTCCTCAGTTGGGGGGCCACATCAGCAAGAGGATCTTGTTTTGGTTCTCTTTTCCTTTGCTTCTCTTGTCTCGTGTGTGACCCCTGACTAATCTTTCTGTGAGTCAGCAGCCCCTGACCCCCAAAAAGGTCCCCCACTCCTGCTCTAAAACCTTACAGTAAGGTACTATGGAGATATCTCTGTGGTGGGCTGCATAAGCTAAATACTTCACTAACACTTTGCACTTGGAATACATGTGTATTCCTACAGGACTTAAAAGCAATAATCAACTGTTTTGGCCTAAACCACATGAAGGACTTGATGTGGTTTTATATTCCAGTGTTCCATACTGTCATCTGTTTGTAGCAACTATCCAATTGGGATGACAACTTGCTTTTAGGTAGTTGATCGCTTAAAATGAGATCCAAGGTATACTTTAATTTATAAGGTTTTGTATATTTGCATCTCTCTTTTGTACACGTGCTACATTGTCCTGCATTTTGTATGGACTACCCCAGACTAACACGGCTACATTTCTATCGCTATTCTGCTGAGCTACAGTTCATCTTCACGTTTGACACAATCAACTCTGGATTAAACAAAGACTGTGAATGGCTTGCTAACCACAAAAACAGCCTTTCCTCTCTTGGAATTCACAACTCCACATCCGCTTCTAGAAACAGGCCTCATCTCC